CCACCGCTGAGGCGATAGGCATTCGCCTATTCGCACCAGAACTATGTGCAAGAAAGCGACTGGTTCAAGCTCTCCATTTACCCTGGCTCTAAATTTATCATCAGCATCACCACCACCACCANCAAGATGACCAAGAATGGCGCTTCTTATGCTTAATGTTCCTCCTTGTTTTACCCAGTGTGGGCTGTGTTCCTTCATCCGTTGAGATAGTTACCTCGCCGTGCGGCCAATGCACGTTGCATTACAAACTCACCGGAAAGAGTAGATAAACATAGAAGTGGCCAGCTTAGGCAGCCTAGCTTTGTGGCTAGTTCGGATGATGAGCGAGCCTGTGAACACACAATAATCGAGCTGCGTTGTAGGTCCGCTTCACATTCGCCTATTCGCACCAGAATTATACGCAAACAAGAGACTGGTTCAAGCTCTCCATTTACCCTGGCTCTAAATTTATCATCAGCATCACCACCACCACCAACACTCCGATCACAATCAGTCTCATCGGAACACAGACACATAAGGCTTACCCTGCTCCTCCCCTCTCCCCATCCCAAGTGACATTTCGCCCCACCGTGAAAATGTGTCCCCACTAACGACAAACCCTTATGTGATCTGTATTGGCACGATTAGGAATCATTCGAAAACAATTGTTCGCCTTCGGACTTGTGTTCCAATCTGGGATTGTTGACAAAACCATGGGATTTGTGCAACGCTAAATAAAACCCAGCAACTAACGCGTTTTTCGTGACCCATTACATCCATTCCGTTGTTCGCTGGTATGAGGCAAGTTTGGGATCTCATTCGTTTCTGTTTTGCCCGAATCATTCACGGATCATTAACAACTTTACAGCGATTCACTTGAAATGCTTTGGAAGTTGGATTATCCAGTAACNACAAACCCTTATGTGATCTGTATTGGCACGATTAGGAATCATTCGAAAACAATTGTTCGCCTTCGGACTTGTGTTCTGAGTTACAATGGGATTAATCTGGGATCCCAGATTGCCTGAACAAGTTTTCTGCATGCTTCTGCGGTTCGCGAATTAGAGTTGTCCAGTTTCCTGTCAATTCGATTCACTTATTTTACAGACGTTTTTCGATCGACCTGAAAACACACCAATTTATTGAGTTGCCCATTCTCCAGTTACTCATGTTAGTGTGCGACTAAATAACAGCAAACAAAACCGGGGCACAAAAGTGCGCGATTATTGGTTCCAACAACTGAAACCGAAAAGTGTGCATACGACGATGCGCGGTTTTCAACAAATCGACTGCTCAGTTATTGGTGTTGTTTCTGGGTTCTTGCAGCTTCGAACACTGGGCACTCGTACTTTGGCTTCTAGGGAGCACGGTGGTGCGAATATTCAAGCCTTGCGTTTCCCAATAACGAGAGAGATTTCAGTCCTTTCAGTACATGGCCGGTGTCCCCTCTCAGATGTTTCTGAAACTTAACTGCATAGACATAGACAAGGCTGACCACACGTTAACGGCAAGAGGCAGGTACGACAACCCTCACTAAGGATAACTAGGAATTCGTCCTGTATATAGCAAATGAAGCGTGCACTGAAAAGCTAGGAAGCATGGGACAGCTGTTTGGACCTGGTTTGGTCTCATCAGCGGTGCGAATCAATCGACTCAATTGGGTTGTGCCATATCGTGCAAATGAAAACTGAAAAACGGTTTGATCAGCTGAGAGGTGGCTGAGTGGGTAGCATGCTTGCTACCAGTGAAGTCATGGTTTCGATCCCCGGTTGGATTGGTGGATTCCAACTATTGATTAGGTCTAAACAGCTGTTCAGTGCTTTCTAGCTCTTCAGTTCACGCTTCATTTGCCATATACGCAACGAATTCACCTTTAAAAATGAATGAAATCCTCTATTACTCAGATGAGACAATTGGGAATGTTCGGAATGATAGAATTCATGCCATTTGCATGCATCATCTCTTATAAAGTTGTGTATAAATATCAAATATCAAATACCAATTTAAGACTGAACTGAGAAAGGGACGCTTTTCAGTGCACCTCCTTGATCAGTTGATCACACTCTTTTCTACCCCGGATTGATAACCTGTCTTTCCACGCTCTCTCTGTGTTGAACCGAGGTAGACCTCTGCCTTGCATCTTGTGGAGCTCGTTGACGGACGTCAATTTGATGGGTCGTTGAAGCCGTGCGATCCGCGTGAGGTACTCTACTCGATAAGCACGAAGGGTGACGCAGTTTCGTGCGCGCTACAGCTAAAGAACAGCTGGTGGTGGATGCTAGAACATTGATGATAACCTAATCATCAAGGCCCACCACAATAACTACGATCAGGTTCGAGTTTTTGCTTACGGCATACTCTGAGTAATGCACTTTTCATTATGTAGATCATGGATCTACTTGAATAGTA